TGCGCCCTCCTTCTCCTGTATCCTGGAGCAGGCTGTCGGCCATAGAGGAGGCTGTGATGGCCCTATGCCCAGGACTCCTTCCATATTATGCAGGACGACTGGCGTGTGGAATCCAAGAAATGTTTGATGAGCTTAGGACCAAAGAGAAGGTAACAGCACAAAGTTCCTGTTTAGGTTCATATTTCTGTTTCAGATTGGGTCAAGTCAAGTCAAATCAAGCAGAAAACTGACAACCACTGTATTATGATTTTTACATTAGTGCAGTACTATTGACAAGGCTTGCCACAATACATTTTTTTTTTTCAATATATGACAGCTGGAACAATATTTTTTGGGGTCAATATTTATTGTGGGTATTTTTTCTTTGTGCTACTGGGAAATTTTTTCTTATTTTTTGGCTATACAATAAGATTTAACTGATAAAAGGTTAAATCTTATTAGAGATCCTTAGATATCCTTGGATATCTTAAACGATGTCCAAGTCTCACGATATGATATCGTCACGGTATGAACATGAACGATATCGATATTTATTACTATATCGTGGGAAAGCTCACGATATGGTGGGGAGGCTCACTATTAGGGATGTAACAATATCCAAATCTCTTGGTACGATATTTTCACGAGATACATCTCACAGTATATTTATTGTGATATTTTGTGGAGGCAAACAAAACAGTTAATATGCTACTTCTTCTTAAAATCCTTGACAAGATTTAGTCCAAAAGAACTAAGACTTAAAAGTGCTTAGAACAATTATTTCTTCTTGTAGTCTACACTGAAATGGAGCAAAGGATCATGGTCTTTGTAGTTCCCTTTGTCTTTTTATTAGCTATTGCTGCACCATAACTCTTAATTTAAGCAAAGAGACTTATAATTCAGTATATTGTGATGGAGTTTTGACGATACAATATCACGATATTTCAGTTATTGTTACATCCCTTCTCATTACAGAAGCAAACTAAGTACTAAAGTGTTTAATTCTGCTATTTATTCTTTACAGCTCTTGATATTTTTTAATAATATTGTACATTTAGAATATTTTTTGTGATTTAAATCTGCCCTTGGGTTATTGTGTGTCAGTGGTATAAATTAGATTCAATATTATGTTTAATCATCTCTTTTTACTTCTGCAATATTGCACTTCAAAATTTGTTATCGTGACAGGCCTGGCTATAGCACATATATTTGAAGTGTGACTATTTTGTTTATGGCCACTATTACATTGTTATATACCATGGGCATACATGTACTAAAAACACATAGTAGTAATAGTCCATGGTGTCACTCTGGGAAAAGCTTAACCAGCCCAAGGTTAACCAGTTGTATTGAGTGAGCAGAATAATCGCCTGTTTAACAAAACCAGCCATTAGAGTTGAGGCGTTCAGCGGACTTCCCCTTGTTAAGACCTTAATCTGCTTTCTGTACAAGTTCCCCGTCACTGGCTTAAAGTGGGGGGTTCATTAGTGTTTGGAGAAACTGCAGGATCAGCAAATGGATCAGCCAATGGTGGACTTAATCACATTTTTTTCTGCTTTATTAATAGCTTAATACTAGTTGTTTGTTGATAGATTTTTCTCATCATTCTCTTCACATGCTTTTGATTGTGATTTTTCTGCTCTGGTATATTAAGAGAAGTGCGGGGTTATTAATTCATATTAGTAATGAAAATGTCTGAAATTATGAAGAGTCAAAAATCCACAGCTGTCAATGTTGTAATTAAATGTTTTGGTCTAAATTAATTCTGGATTATATATTCTTTCTTAAAGGTGCACTGTGTAACTTTTCGGTTGGGGTCCGTCACCGTCTTGTTTCTATGGATATGACATTGCTCTGCTTCAAATGTTCCACAGCATGACATTAAACAGCTCTACCTTACATCTATTAAATTACAGATGGTTTTATAGCTCTAAAATACCTAGAAACACAGATGCTCTGTGAGCTGGGTTGCTTCTCCACAGATCTGACCTGTTACTTGTTCTGGTATGGTCTCCATGAAGGTAGAAAGGTTTAATGCTGTACTGTGAAACATTTCAGACAAAGCAATAACATTTCCATGAAGAAAAGCATCTGACAGACCCTCTACCAGAAAACGTACACAATACATTTAAATATCACACAACCTCTGTCTATTCAGATTTATATAGCTTTTCTAATTGCTCTTGTTCATTAAGAACTGATTGGGCATTATACTTTTTGAGTTTTATACTTGTCTTAGTGATTTTCCTCATAGATCAATAAAAGTAGTGTTGACGAATTTAAGAGAGAAGCTGGGTAGTTTGCTAATAAGATTGATAAATATTTTTTTCCCGTTTCCCCTAGACAAATTTGTGCTAGTTCAAATGCAGTGTTTTTGTTAGTTTTTTTAACACTTTACCACACAAACAAGAACAATTAAACAACATAAAAATTATACTAATAATACCGGGGTGCAGTAGGAACAAATGCAGTCTTTATGTGCCATTTTATATTGTGACATGTGAGCTACTGTATCCAAGTAATTTTAATTCTAGTTTTGAGTACAAATGTAGTGTCTGTGTGCGTGTGTAGGAGCTGCGTTCGCGAGAGGAGGAGCTGACGAGAGCTGCTCTTCAGCAGAAGTCTCAGGAGGAGTTGTTGAAGCGCAGGGAGCAGCAGCTGGCAGAAAGAGAGATCAATGTGCTGGAGAGAGAGCTCAACATCCTCATCTTCCAACTGAACAAAGACAAGCCCAACGTCAAGAAGAGGAAGGGCAAAATTCAAACGCTCCCGCCTCAAACTTAAGGATGGGAACCGCATCAGTTTGCCCTCAGGTTAGAATTGGGGGTCTTATCCATTGTACCCCAGATGGGACAAAGTAACTGAATTTTTGTAATTAGTTTCTTGATTTCGAGCTATGTCACAGCAGAACAAACAGAAAGTACAGCGATTAATGCAATCGGTATTATTTGAGTCTAAGATTGACTCATACAAATGAAGATTGATGCTTGAAATGGAGTGGGAAGAAGTAAGACTTTTTTTTACCCACTCCAGTGTGAATCATTTACCTAGATATATCTATCCACTTTATGTATATAGCTAGGCCAGTCATGGTAATTACCATATTGACTCAAAATGTGTTATCGTCACAGGCCTATATATAGCACATTTGTATAAACATACAGCAGTTTTTAAGTGCTGCACTAGGTCACTTTGAATGAAAGAGTCTTTATTCAGCTCTACCAGACATTATTAAGAATATAAAAAGAAGCAGAACAAAATAAGAACCACATTAAATAAACTATTAAATTAAAAACTATAAATAGACTAAAATATGGAACAATAAAATAAGACAATACGACCAAATTAATAAAAACAATAGGACAATATAAAGTTTTGGAGCAACTATGAAAAAGCTTACAATACATAAATATTTGATGCCACAACAATTCACAGTGATTTTGAATTAGTTTAGTCTGTGTATGTGCACTAAAACTGGTCCTGCTTTATTACATTATGGAAGAAAATTCATTATCTCTGTTGTTTTTAGTCTAGTGAAAATGCTGCTGTAGTCTCCTATTGTGAAACTAAACCACCAATGGCCATCTTCAAGTTTTGGAGCAACTATGAAAATGCTTACAATACATAAACATTTGCTGCCACAACAATTCACAGTGCTTTTGAATTAGTTTAGTGTGCGCTAAAACCGGTCCTATTTTATTACTTTATGGCAGAAACTTCATTAACTGCTATTGTGAAACTAAGAATAAAAAAAAATTGCAGACCCAAATAAGATCCACATTAACTAAGAATTAAAACACACAAATAGACTAAAATATGGAACAATAAAGAAGACAATAGAAAGTTTTGCAGCAAATATTCACAGTTTCACAATGATTTTGAATTAGTTAAGTCTGGTCTTGCTTAATTACTTTTAGGGAACTGCTATTGTGAAGCTAAACCACTAATTGTGTTGTAGATTTCCAGCACAAGATCACAGTGCAGCCATCGCCCTCCATGGACAAGAGGCGGAGTCTGGGCACCAGCTCGTCCCCCCCCAGCAGTCCCACTCTCATCCCACGGCTACGGGCCATTCAGCGTGAGTGTCACAGCCCGCCACCCGCTCACTCAGCCGCTTGTATAACTTGCTATGGCTCTGAGCTGGGTCAAGAGCATAAATTGTAACTCGGTCAAATCTTTGTGTCAACAGTGAGCACTATTTGGAATGTTTCTCCCGTGTGCTTCTCTCCAAACTTTATGGGAGCTGTAACGTTCACAGTGAAAGGGTGCCGCAGACAAAGGACTCAGAGCCACAAGCTGACAGCCAGTTGTTTGAACAGTTTGATAATGGCTTTAGTCACGCATCGACGCCCCTGCAATAACTGGAGCAAATTCCTCCGCCGCATTTTATAGACGCTCTCACATTTGACATTTAGACGAGAGGTGTGTGAAGATCAGCTATTGTTTAAAACACACAGGCACGCTTTCATATTTTTACTGTGAGAAGAAGAAACTATTTATATAACACCACAATATAAACAAGAAACTTACCTGAAAGTAAAGGTGCACTCAACCAGCTTTTTCAGTTCTGATATCGATTCCGATACTATGTAAGTATCAACCAGCCTATAGCGGCGCAGAAACTGAAAACAGTATTTATTACCTTTAAACAAAAATAAAATAAGACTACACTGATCCAATTGTGTTATGTAGCTGTTATTTATCTGTCAAGTAACTTCAGAACAGCTTTGTATAAGTAAAAGTTCAAACATTATGAGAGTTTCTGGGCGCAGACTAAGACCAGGGAATAGTCTTATTACATCAATGTATGTCCAGCAGGATACCAGCTGAACCAGTATTTGTACACCAATATCTGTTCCAATAAATTTTCCAGTATCAGCATATAATAATAATATTTGTTACAAGTATCAGATATCTGCATCCCTACCTGAAAAAAAAACACTGAAAAGGACCGTATATAAATAGTTTCTTCTTCTCACAGTAAAAATATGAAAGCGTGCCTGTGTGTTTTAAACAATAGCTGATCTTCACACACCTCTCGTCTAAATGTCAAATGTGAGAGCGTCTATAAAATGCGGCGGAGGAATTTGCTCCAGTTATTGCAGGGGCGTCGATGCGTGACTAAAGCCATTATCAAACTGTTCAAACAACTGGCTGTCAGCTTGTGGCTCTGAGTCCTTTGTCTGCGGCACCCTTTCACTGTGAACGTTACAGCTCCCATAAAGTTTGGAGAGAAGCACACGGGAGAAACATTCCAAATAGTGCTCACTGTTGACACAAAGATTTGACCGAGTTACAATTTATGCTCTTGACCCAGCTCAGAGCCATAGCAAGTTATACAAGCGGCTGAGTGAGCGGGTGGCGGGCTGTGACACTCACGCTGAATGGCCCGTAGCCGTGGGATGAGAGTGGGACTGCTGGGGGGGACGAGCTGGTGCCCAGACTCCGCCTCTTGTCCATGGAGGGCGATGGCTGCACTGTGATCTTGTGCTGGAAATCTACAACACAATTAGTGGTTTAGCTTCACAATAGCAGTTCCCTAAAAGTAATTAAGCAAGACCAGACTTAACTAATTCAAAATCATTGTGAAACTGTGAATATTTGCTGCAAAACTTTCTATTGTCTTCTTTATTGTTCCATATTTTAGTCTATTTGTGTGTTTTAATTCTTAGTTAATGTGGATCTTATTTGGGTCTGCAATTTTTTTTATTCTTAGTTTCACAATAGCAGTTAATGAAGTTTCTGCCATAAAGTAATAAAATAGGACCGGTTTTAGCGCACACTAAACTAATTCAAAAGCACTGTGAATTGTGTTGTGGCAGCAAATGTTTATGTATTGTAAGCATTTTCATAGTTGCTCCAAAACTTGAAGATGGCCATTGGTGGCTTAGTTTCACAATAGGAGACTACAGCAGCATTTTCACTAGACTAAAAACAACAGAGATAATGAATTTTCTTCCATAATGTAATAAAGCAGGACCAGTTTTAGTGCACATACACAGACTAAACTAATTCAAAATCACTGTGAATTGTTGTGGCATCAAATATTTATGTATTGTAAGCTTTTTCATAGTTGCTCCAAAACTTTATATTGTCCTATGTTTTTATTAATTTGGTCGTATTGTCTTATTTTATTGTTCCATATTTTAGTCTATTTATAGTTTTTAATTTAATAGTTTATTTAATGTGGTTCTTATTTTGTTCTGCTTCTTTTTATATTCTTAATAATGTCTGGTAGAGCTGAATAAAGACTCTTTCATTCAAAGTGACCTAGTGCAGCACTTAAAAACTGCTGTATGTTTATACAAATGTGCTATATATAGGCCTGTGACGATAACACATTTTGAGTCAATATGGTAATTACCATGACTGGCCTAGCTATATACATAAAGTGGATAGATATATCTAGGTAAATGATTCACACTGGAGTGGGTAAAAAAAAGTCTTACTTCTTCCCACTCCATTTCAAGCATCAATCTTCATTTGTATGAGTCAATCTTAGACTCAAATAATACCGATTGCATTAATCGCTGTACTTTCTGTTTGTTCTGCTGTGACATAGCTCGAAATCAAGAAACTAATTACAAAAATTCAGTTACTTTGTCCCATCTGGGTACAATGGATAAGACCCCCAATTCTAACCTGAGGGCAAACTGATGCGGTTCCCATCCTTAAGTTTGAGGCGGGAGCGTTTGAATTTGCCCTTCCTCTTCTTGACGTTGGGCTTGTCTTTGTTCAGTTGGAAGATGAGGATGTTTGAGCTCTCTCTCCAGCACATTGATCTCTCTTTCTGCCAGCTGCTGCTCCCTGCGCTTCAACAACTCCTCCTGAGACTTCTGCTGAAGAGCAGCTCTCGTCAGCTCCTCCTCTCGCGAACGCAGCTCCTACACACGCACACAGACACTACATTTGTACTCAAAACTAGAATTAAAATTACTTGGATACAGTAGCTCACATGTCACAATATAAAATGGCACATAAAGACTGCATTTGTTCCTACTGCACCCCGGTATTATTAGTATAATTTTTATTGTTTAATTGTTCTTGTTTGTGTGGTAAAGTGTTAAAAAAAACTACCAAAAACACTGCATTTGAACTAGCACAAGTTTGTCTAGGGGAAACGGGAAAAAAATATTTATCAATCTTATTAGCAAACTACCCAGCTTCTCTCTTAAATTCGTCAACACTACTTTTATTGATCTATGAGGAAAATCACTAAGACAAGTATAAAACTCAAAAAGTATAATGCCCAATCAGTTCTTAATGAACAAGAGCAATTAGAAAAGCTATATAAATCTGAATAGACAGAGGTTGTGTGATATTTAAATGTATTGTGTACGTTTTCTGGTAGAGGGTCTGTCAGATGCTTTTCTTCATGGAAATGTTATTGCTTTGTCTGAAATGTTTCACAGTACAGCATTAAACCTTTCTACCTTCATGGAGACCATACCAGAACAAGTAACAGGTCAGATCTGTGGAGAAGCAACCCAGCTCACAGAGCATCTGTGTTTCTAGGTATTTTAGAGCTATAAAACCATCTGTAATTTAATAGATGTAAGGTAGAGCTGTTTAATGTCATGCTGTGGAACATTTGAAGCAGAGCAATGTCATATCCATAGAAACAAGACGGTGACGGACCCCAACCGAAAAGTTACACAGTGCACCTTTAAGAAAGAATATATAATCCAGAATTAATTTAGACCAAAACATTTAATTACAACATTGACAGCTGTGGATTTTTGACTCTTCATAATTTCAGACATTTTCATTACTAATATGAATTAATAACCCCGCACTTCTCTTAATATACCAGAGCAGAAAAATCACAATCAAAAGCATGTGAAGAGAATGATGAGAAAAATCTATCAACAAACAACTAGTATTAAGCTATTAATAAAGCAGAAAAAATGTGATTAAGTCCACCATTGGCTGATCCATTTGCTGATCCTGCAGTTTCTCCAAACACTAATGAACCCCCCACTTTAAGCCAGTGACGGGGAACTTGTACAGAAAGCAGATTAAGGTCTTAACAAGGGGAAGTCCGCTGAACGCCTCAACTCTAATGGCTGGTTTTTTGTTAAACAGGCGATTATTCTGCTCACTCAATACAACTGGTTAACCTTGGGCTGGTTAAGCTTTTCCCAGAGTGACACCATGGACTATTACTACTATGTGTTTTAGTACATGTATGCCCATGGTATATAACAATGTAATAGTGGCCATAAACAAAATAGTCACACTTCAAATATATGTGCTATAGCCAGGCCTGTCACGATAACAAATTTTGAAGTGCAATATTGCAGAAGTAAAAAGAGATGATTAAACATAATATTGAATCTAATTTATACCACTGACACAATAACCCAAGGGCAGATTTAAATCCACAAAAAATATTCTAAATGTACAATATTATTAAAAAATATCAAGAGCTGTAAAGAATAAATAGCAGAATTAAACACTTTAGTACTTAGTTTGCTTCTGTAATGAGAAGGGATGTAACAATAACTGAAATATCGTGATATTGTATCGTCAAAATCGTCAAAACTCTCACAATAATATCGTGGACCATCACAATATACTGAATTATAAGTCTCTTTGCTTAAATTAAGAGTTATGGTGCAGCAATAGCTAATAAAAAGACAAAGGGAACTACAAAGACCATGATCCTTTGCTCCATTTCAGTGTAGACTACAAGAAGAAATAATTGTTCTAAGCACTTTTAAGTCTTAGTTCTTTGGACTAAATCTTGTCAAGGCATTTTAAGAAGAAGTAGCATATTAACAGTTTTGTTTGCCTCCACAAAATATCACAATAAATATACTGTGAGATGTATCTCGTGAAAATATCGTACCAAGAGATTTGGATATTGTTACATCCCTAATAGTGAGCCTCCCCACCATATCGTGAGCTTTCCCACGATATAGTAATAAATATCGATATCGTTCATGTTCATACCGTGACGATATCATATCGTGAGACTTGGACATCGTTTAAGATATCCAAGGATATCTAAGGATCTCTAATAAGATTTAACCTTTTATCAGTTAAATCTTATTGTATAGCCAAAAAATAAGAAAAAATTTCCCAGTAGCACAAAGAAAAAAATACCCACAATAAATATTGACCCCAAAAAATATTGTTCCAGCTGTCATATATTGAAAAAAAAATTTATTGTGGCAAGCCTTGTCAATAGTACTGCACTAATGTAAAATCATAATACAGTGGTTGTCAGTTTTCTGCTTGATTTGACTTGACTTGACCCAATCTGAAACAGAAATATGAACCTAAACAGGAACTTTGGTGCTGTTACCTTCTCTTTGGTCCTAAGCTCATCAAACATTTCTTGGATTTCCACACGCCAGTCGTCCTGCATAATATGGAAGGAGTCCTGGGGCATAGTGGCCATCACAGCCTCCTCTATGGCCGACAGCTGCTCCAGGATACAGGAGAAGGAGGGGCGCACGTGGGGGTCCTGGTCCCAGCATTCTGAACAACATCATTCATGAATATCACATTTGTTTTTCTTGTGTTGCAACATCTGCTATAATAATCATGACAAGCACATAATTACACAGGGAATTATGGCAAAGAAGCAATTAATCTGTAATATAATCTGTAATTATATGAGACAGGACATGCCAGGACAAAACGCCCACTTTACAAAGACAACTTAAGCTATTAGAATTGTGTAACAAAATTGACACACTGGATGCATTGTAATCCTTTGTTTTTGTGCAGACTTGTGCTGTGTGATTCACCTTCCATGAGCTTGGCAAAGGGTTCAGGACATGTGGATGGGATGGGTAACGTTAGTTTATTGACCGCAACACCATATGCAACTGCAAGGCCATCAATCCCTCTGTATGGCACTTCTCCAGTCAACAGCTCCCACAGCAAAACACCATAGCTACAAAAGACAGCATGAATCAATATTTCATGTCACGATAACACATTTTTAAGCACGATATATAGCTACAGACATATATACTGTGATAAATGATAATACTGAGACTGGTTTATGTCACTGTCACAAAGCAGGATGATCCTGGTAAACACATTTTGAAATATACAGTGTCATTAAAAAGCCTGAGCTGCAGAATTAACCGATAATCAGCCATTGCAGTTATTTTTTCTACACTCTACAGCTAATATCTTTCTTTATTACAAAGAAATGGCAAAAATCTCCCCCAAAATATATTGTTCTAGCTATCATATGCGTAATGATAAGTCAATATTGTATCACAGGCTCAAAGAAGACCAGATGACAGCGTACCTCCATACGTCACTGCCTTTGGAGAAGAGGGACGACTTGATGACCTCTGGGGCCATCCAGGAGTACGTTCCGGCGGCAGACATCTTTGTAGTTTTGTGCCACTCCCGAGCCAGGCCGAAATCTGTGATCTTCAATGTCTTCCTCCCGATGTCATCATTCTCAATCCTTTCAAGTAATAAAACTAAAAAGACACAACAACAAACAGCACAGTAAGACACAGACTCAGAATTATAAATTATAAGGGCTACTGGCAATTATTAGGAGGGTGGCAATGATACTTTAAAGATCCTATATCACATAAAATTTAGTTTTGTGAGATTTTAGCCACGTTATAATGTTGTTACCTTCTCAAAAACATCTGGAGTCATGTTTTGTTTAATTCAAACATGTTTGAGTAAGTTTTTTTTATTATTATTAGTCTGTTTACATCTCCAAAGTTAACAGCTACCTTTTACCTTTAGTTCAATAGAGATTGGCATTTCCAGGGCTGAAATTATCCAGATGATTCTAGTGAAGGTGTATGGAGTTTGAAACACAGTGGAGCACTTCCTGTATTATCACATGACATCACAAGGTGGCCAGAGTGTTTTCCATTTGAGAGAAGAACTCAGCCTAAAATGCAAGATTTGTATTAAACATGTTGTGAATGAAACAAAACACAACTCCGGATATGTTTGTGATGAGGATACAACACTGTGGCATAGATCAGAAAATAATGTAATATGGGCCCTTTAACTGAATAAAATGTTTGTATTTAACAGCAACATTAATACACATTGTATTGCTTCAAATTGCAAGATGAGATTACAATTCAATTACTTTGCGAAAAGCACAGATCTTATGTTTTTTTCAATTTATGCTTTTCTGTATGCTGTGTAACTATGAACTTATCAGTTAAGTCATGATTTAAAAGTACATTCTTTAAAAACCTTTAGAGCTATAAACATCGTAAAGACCTGCTGCAGTGTGTGGGTGAGTGGAGGAGATGACAGTGGATATGTAAAGGCCAAAAGCAGTACGCAGGTCATATATTACTGTAGAAACAAGAGGCTGACAGAGCCACAAAGCACCTGTCCTCGGGTCCTAGAAGTGTTTAGCACATTAAAGATCCCTCCAAACTTCACAGTAACACTACACTAGGCCCAGGGTACAAGGTTGTGACATGTGAACCCAAGAGTGGACAATCTCAACCAAAAAAGGCAACTATACACTGATTTTTGTTAACAATTTTAAAGACAACTTTGACCATTTTTTGTGAGGATTTTAGAGCTTAAAAGGCCTATATTATACAGATTTTTTTTTTTAATCTGTATAATATATTTGTATAACAGATAAAAAAAATTCTGTGTTATAATCAAAAACATACCCGGAGTTTTATTTACACGCTTTTTTACACACAAACCCTACATATTTCGACAGTGTTCTTCTCTCAATCCCCTCCTCTCCACCTTGTGATGTCATGTGATAATACAAGAAGTGCTCCACTGTGTTTTTAAACTCCATACACCTACACTAGAATCATTTGGATAATTTCAGCCCTGCAATTGCCAATCTCTATTGAACTAAAGGTAAATGATAGCTGAAAAGGTAAATGAAAGGTAAATGATAGCTTGAAAACTAGCACTTCATGACATCACAAGATGGAACAGAGCATTTGAGCTTTGGAGTTATAGACAGACTACTAATAAAAGATTACTCAAACATGTGTGAATGAAACAAAACACAACTTCAGGTATATTTTTGATGAGGTAACAACATTCTAACAAGGCTTAAAACTTAGTAAGGTAAATTTTGAGCAACATAGGACCTTCAATATTTGCATGTTAAATATCTCTGATCATAATAAAGATCCAGTCTTCAACAAATATGAATAATTTGTTGTGGTATGGTGATTGTAAAATGGAATCGCGTGAGCACACTACTTAAGACTCTTTGATCCTTTGATGCTTGTGGTGTTATTTTCAACATTTTGTTTTTAACCCCTGCCAAGATCTACTCACATTACCGACTGTCCCATTTCATTATTGACACGCAAAGATCCTACCGCAACTCAACCTTTTATAGTCTCCTCTGCTCCAGCGGTGATTCTCAAAGCTGTTTAAAAAGCCCCTTTAGGTACCTTAACCGAGCAACTTAAAGGGAAAATATTGTACAGGGAGACAAAAGGAGGTGATAAAACCAGTCTGTTTCCTTTGTCCATACTTGGACCTTGTGGTCAGATTCCCATGGGAAAAACAACAGAATGATAAGGTTAAAGATACACTTTGGATTTTTTCAGTGTTTGTACAAAGAAAGTTACATGTTATTATTTTTGGTCTTATCAATTAAAAGCTTTCAACACTACATAGATGCTGAATGAGCTGGCTGCATTATCACTGCTTCAGTGACCTTGGACCAAACTCCTACAAAATGATAACGTGAAAAAACACACACACTACTTAGCAACTACAAAACTATATACTACAATATATAAGGTCTTATTTTCTTTACTTATTTTCTTTCAAAATCAGTATATTCTATTATTTCATAAATGAACTCAAAATTGCAGGTCAGTATAGCAGGTTGTATCGGTAAATGCTCAGTATATATTGTAACATAAAAAGGCCTGGCTGTCACTATAATACATTTTGAAGCACGATATACTGCTACAGAGATAAACGATAATATAGAAACTACTTTGTGCCACTGACAGAAAGCAGGTAAACCAATTTTAATAATTTAACCAATAATAATTTAATTTTAATAAGAGACTAACATTAAAAGGCCTGAATCAACTAATAAATAGCCATAAGTTACTTATTCTACCCTCTACAGCTCAAACATTATTGTAATATAACAAAAATAACAAAAATCTGCCCATGATGCCCAAGAAAATGTATACAGGATCAATACAGAGCCCAAAAATATACTGTTCTTGCTTTCACGTATTGAACAATAAGTCAATATAATAATTATCATGATGATGACAGGCTGACACATAACATTTTTGATAACCCTGTGTGGTCACTGTATCATTGACTTAAAAATGTCCTTTCTTTAAACTTAAACTGACTTAAGTGGAAATAAAACAGTGTACTTGACAAATATCTGTCATGTTTATGTGATTTGATTCTTGCAGTGGACTTTACAGTGGCCTATGTCAGTAGTCTACAGTGTAGTGTGGCGCTATGTAGCTCCTCTGGGTCTGCATTAAAACACAGCTAATGGTGCCATTACTAGCCTTGGGCACTAAGGGGATCCTCTCTACCCAGGTCGCAACAATGGGATTTCCATTACAAACAGGTTTCATTGCACCAATGATATACTCCTCTACTTCCTGTTGTCAAGCTCTCTCTCAGTGATTCCATAGATTCCTCCCAGCAGGCTCTGTAGGTTCATAATGACTTATGGTGGCTTAGTTACACAACCCAGCAGAACAGTGGTTTGGGGATAAACCCGGTCTGCGCTGATTGGCCTCTAGAATATCATGCCAAATACTTTCTTTGTGGCTCCCTGGTACTTCAGTGTCAGCCCTCTAGAAATCTCTGATAAAAGACAGTATCTTTTGTCCACATGACTCCATGCTGACGTCCATCACACAAAAACACCTTTTAGTACAGCCATTTTGTCACTGGGCTCAAGAAAGAGCTGCTGGTACACCAGAAAATTAGGTCTTAAGTATATAGCAATCAGTGGTTAACTCTGATGTTTATGGACTGAATGAATAATGCATTGCAAAGCACTAACCTTGAAAAGCGCAGTATATCCAAGACATTAATATTGTTATCATGCCATTAAAATGAATACACAAGAAGCATAACAAGTCAATCGAATTATTTTGCAGAGCACTAAATTACAACTGCAGGAACCTCACAGGACATCAACAAATTGTAAAGTCTGAAAAGTATCACGAGTGCCATGCTTTCACTGCCTTTTTTTCTTATATTGCCTCTCTATCTGAACTGTGTGCTACATATAGTACAATATGACTCTGAATATATCAACACGCACTTACATTGTGTCATCTTATTTAGCCGTGTGTATTAGTATTGCAAACAGCAATTTTACACACACATTTATGTATTTAAGTATTGTGGCACAAATTATGTCTTTTTGTATATTGTATGAAAAATATGACTCACAGACATAGCCTTAAGTACAAGAAGTAGGATTGTTGTCCAAATGTTATAAAAATATATCTTAAAAGAAGACTGAAAAATTTGTGCCAAAAGTAAGTGATTTGGACATTTGTGTTTAAGTAACCACAACAGCTCACATGGCATCGTACAGTCTTTAGTGTGCTTCTGGTTTAAGTGACACTTTTGGACACAACCCTTTTTGTCCGGGTTTAGTACTTATTGTGGATTTATGATGGCGTTCCATTAAAGCTGAACTATATATAAAAATGTAAATATGTTTTATAAATAGATTATCTGCCTCAGAGCGTAAACCCACACTACTGAGAAAGTATTGAGGACAAAAGCGAGTGGACCAAACTATGAGACAATCTTGCCAAAAGCACAGGACCCACACTGGTCTCTTCACTCTGTATGGCTGTGCTCCAGCCTGGCTTTGTTACTAACCCCACTTTGAAGCCCACCTCCCATGACCTCCTCTAATTTCTAGGGTCTCTTCAAAGACAAACAAGCTCTAACAAGATCGAGAGCTCCATTCACATGAAATAAAATACTGTTTCCATATGAACAAAAAAATATGACTGAAGTAGATGTGCCAATAAGACTAACATATTAATGTAAGCATAGGAGATAGTGGATTGGAAATATACCAAACTGTGCTATTTTTTCTGAAAAAAATTGCAATCACAATTAGATTTGTGTTATGCAGTAGTAGTATGTTTTAACAGCAGGAATCAGTTCAGACTTCAGAGGGCACGACGCATCCAGGAGCACCAATATGTGACAATATCATGCATTTAAGAACATGCTTGCAACTCTAAACTGCGGAGTAAGCAGGTTTTGTGCAAAAGAGACGGGATATTATTTGTGACCATTGGAATGGTGTTTTTAATTTGTCTAAGAAAGAGCACACAAACTTAACTGTGTATCTACAGATACTGTTTTGAGGTGTCCGACTCCCTTTCTTCTATATTTTCTTATTCTTCCAAAAGTGTAGACAACAGTGCAACGCAACTGGAGCTGGCTGCAGCCCCGAGGCAGACCCCACCCTGGGTCCATCCCGTCCTGGTCTTCAGGCAGGCCCATCTTTCATGAGCAGCAGAGGGAAGATCATACACAGAGCTGTGTCTTCAAAGCTGCTCTCACGCTTCTTCCCTTTGCCCGAAAAGCCTCCAGGTGAGTGGAGGCTGTTTTTGAAAACTCTCATTAACCATCAATGTTGAAATCAGATTTATTATGTTTCAAAAACTTTTTTTTAACTTTTATACACACCATCTTGAGTGCACAATTTGAGATTTTTTTTTCTTTCTGTTCTTGTGTAAAGTATAAGTATTAAATGGTGTAAAACCAATGAGATTTGCAAGTAGTAACCATTCAAAAAATAATAATATTGAATATGTAAGATTGTAATCGGTTCCTCTTACCATGTAATACATTTTACTTCCTCCAATTTTACTGTACTTTTAATGGAAGATTAGTGCCATTAGCTCCATTTTAGAAGCAAATGAGTCCCAGACCTAAGAGTGCTTGCTTTACTAACAGGCTGCTAAACTCTGGTGTGCCTGTTGAAACCAGAGAGCCCCCAGGCCCTGGGGATGCTGGGAAAAGGATCAAGGCTAAAGGCTGCCTAAATCCATCTATCATGGTCACGTCTCTCTGGGTCGCTTTGTCTGCTCACTTCCTCTTCTGGTGTTTAAGTTCAAATCAGCTCATAACACAGGCATTCAAGCCAAAATGTGTAGCACAAGGACCTTTCTGCCATGTTAGCATCTATTAAAGTGCCAGTGGGCCAGCAAGGCCATTGGTGGATTTTGAAGGTAGCTTCTCTCAGCTGTGGGCCTTTTCCCTTTTCAGCCTGTCCCCCAACAATAGGTGCAGTCAGGGAGAGGTCATAAAAAACAGTGTGAAAGCATCTCCACTCCTCCTCTCTCCCTCTGCCCATTCTCTGAGCACACAAGGACAGGCACTAACTGTCCGAGTGTCACCGGGGTAATTGTGGGGAAGCTAGAGCAAAGCTACCCTGCAACACGTCAAGCTTTGGCAATACAACCCCTTAGCCTAATATATAATCGTAATACATTCATAATAATATATAACAAATTACATTACAAAAGATTACATTTGGCTGTTTTCTCTGCCTGATTGTTTACATATTACCAAGCCCTAATTAGCCTAGACAATGACATAAGACAGTGTAAGTGCACATGCTCCAAAGCACACTGCAACAGTTCCAATGGCATTCTACACACATTCCTCACATAGTGAGTGACTGCTGCACAGAAGTGAAACTCTAGTTTATGTGGGCTTGGGCTCCTGGCCCCAAGCCAAGTTTCACAGTTATTATTTTTTACCTTATCAAGTGCTCTGTAATGCGCTGCCACTCCTCACCTGACGAGAATCACTTGGAAACAGCAAAAGAAATGAAGGTAAACAAAGCACAAATCTAAAAGATAATTCAATTTTATTTTAGTAATGACATACATGTAATAGCACTGGAAATGTATGAGCCACATACTGCTTAAATCAAGTTAATGTCAACTTTCTTTTCTGTTTGAGTTTGTGCAAGCCCAAAAGCTAAAGATACTGACATGAGAGGAAAGGTAAGTTAAGAGGGGAAAGAAATGGGAAGGAAACCCTCAGTCAGAGCTAATAAAAGAGGAGCTGCTCTATGGGAGATTAAATATGAACGGAACAAAACAAAACCAGGGCTTTGAGACCCTCCGAGTTCTAGCCATTCTTTTGGCCACAGTAGCCTAGCAACCGCTGCTTGACCAGT